ACAGCCAGTACCCCAAAAACACCCTTATTAATACTTTTGTGCTCACCTGATTGATCTTTCACAGGCCCGGAGCGGGCCAGACAGGCCGACTTTGGGAGGGGAACGGTCGGCGAAACAAACAAGCGGGCCAGTGTCTGCCCGGGGGAGGTTGGGCCGCAGGTGGCTCGGAGGCACGCTCGGGTTGGCGCGCTGGCCCCCGTCAGATGCCAACAGTGACATTTCCTGACTATGGCCTCACACAAGCAGGCACCCCAGCAACGGCGCCGTGTCCCGGGGGAATGGAGGACAGGGGTGGAGGTTTACAGCACACATGTGCGGCAGGAGGTGTAGGAGTTGTATGGGAGCGTATGCATTAAACATGATGCACTTTTCTCGTAAACCCACAAATAAAGATCTCTTTTAATGTGTCTTTCTTCTCTCACACACACGCACTCATCTGTTGCGTACAGGGGGGGGGGCTGTGAGGGTCCAAACCCTGCAACGTCAGGGGGAGTAAATCATCCTGTAACATCTAAGCTCTTCTACAGCCAGACAGGTAAAGCGAAATGACTCGGTTTTTGCCTTTTGGATATACAAAACGCTCAATGTTCCTCCCTTTTCAAAACCAGGGCACTTATCAGGTGCAGGAAAAGTGAGGCCACTGCTGTGGTTTGGGGTCTCTGTCTGTCATGTTGCTCTTTGGTACCATAGAATTTACATAAGAAACAGAGTTAACCACAATGGTTTGACCACCAGAGGCAGACTCCTCTGGTCCAACAGCACTCTATGAGGAAATGACTCTACTTCTCTGTTGATTTAATGCCTCAGTAAACGTTTATGGTCTCAATCTCTAGTTCCAAGTCTTATTCAATACAGCAAGATGACGTGATCCTTTCGTAAATGATGCTCCACTCAGTCGAAAAAGGCCAAAAAGCAGGGTGTGCCTTAGGGCGGGGCTTCCCTGTGATGGACAGTGCAGTAGAAATTATGTATATATCAAGCCAAATAAGGTCACTACCGTTCCCTGGTTGTGTAAAAAAAGAAGGACATAAAGCCTTAAGGCTTAAAAACCGATCATCATCACCACTGACTGCGTCCACGTCTTATATAGTTATATAAAGACTATAAGAGTATTGATGTGTTGGAATCTCTCCCAGAGCGACCTGATACACAGTAATTTAATTTCACACGGCGTGACCTTTTTAAAAGGAAATGCTCTTAGCTTTAAAAAGGAAAAAAGAAGCTGGCTCTGTTTGGTCTGGAGTGATCTTCCGTTATGTATTGTTCGCTGAGGAAATATTCTCCTGGATGTAAAGGAGGGGCGGGTGGGGGCGGGGGTCAAGAGTTGGCAACGTGGCATAGTGAGGATGTGAGGTGAATCAGGAAACTTGCATGGAATTGATTTTATTTTTGGTTATTGTGGTTTGTAGTCTCTGGGCGCCGACATGACAAGCAAGTGCGAAGGCCATGACAAGAACACGCACAAACACACACACACACACACACACACACACACACACACACACACGCGCACACAGACTGCCTCGTGTTTCACACGATGAGTGTTTGTACTAGGAATCATTTTTCAGTTGGCATGGCACGTGAGAGAGGCCGGTCTTCCTCGAGAAGCCCGATTCCACACTCCAAACAAACCGGGGTTCCCTGACGGCCTCCAGCCTGAGAGTGAGTCCTGTTTGTTCTAACGCTCACAATGAGAGCCCCCCCCCCACACACACACACACACACACACACACACCTGTTTTATCTCTTTCGACTCTTGTGAGACTTCCTATTGCCGCTTCACGGCTCCCGACGAGGCAGCGGCACACTGCTAACGGCGCTAACAATGCAAACTACAGCAAAGGCGCTAAAGGAAGAGAGAACAGTGATTACCTGAGGGGGGGGTACAGGGGGGGGGCTGCTAAGCTGTTGGGGACGCTCACATTAACTAAAATGCACTCATGGTGAACCGGCTATGTCAACAAAACACAAGGAGCTCATAGAGACACATGGAGAGGGACCTCTCAGTGCTCTAAATGCCACATAAAGAGCCTTTAAAATATGAATTAATGCTGCTCGAAAAAATTGGTATAAGAAAAGATCCTGTGAATATTTAGGCCATTAAAAGACGTTCTGTCATATGGATTAATTCACATATAATCATTGTATTATCACAGAGAGTCACAGACAATTTCCTTCATAACGTTTGAATGAATAAAAAAAATGAGGTTAACATCTGTTGAATAAATTTGGCTGTTTTAATTTCTGATTCATGACCGGAACAACTTCACACACACGACATTGAACTGGACACCCAGCACGTGGAGAGCATTTGATATGATCTAAACAGATCTGTAAAATTAAGAGTTGCGGAAGACTTTTTGATGGTGCATCGTGCTGCCAGTAAGTAATGTCCTTGTTTTACCAATGATCCCTTTACTTCTCATCAGTCACCATCGGCCTTATCAGGGCGCTGAGGGAGGAGCAGCAGGGACGAGAGCTGGAGATGGAGCTCGGATGAAAGCCGGAGAGTTGTTGTTGACCTCAAGCCCACCCCCAACAAAGACGGTGTCTTTCTCCGTCCCTCCGCATCCTCTTCTTCTGTCCTCTCTCCGCTCATTCGTTCTTTAATGCCGCTCTTGAACATATCTCACTCCGTCCGTCTATATACCTCCACTTGTTTCGACACGTCTCACTCCCCCTCTGGATAACCAGAACAGCTGAGGCTATAATAACATTTCAGCCATCCATCAAGCACAGCCAGCTTTGATCAATAAGCACTTTGAGTCCACTCCACAGCACCGCTCTGAAGTCAAAATGTCTCCCCTCTGTCTCCGTCAGTACTTATCTCTCTGCTGACAAAGCTATATTAGACTCAGGGGTGGATGAGTATTACAGTAGATTTCCCGATGCATTTCAGACCAGTGTGTGTGTGTGTGTGTGTGTGTGTGTGTGTGTGTGTTGTAAGCAGAATACACAGAGGTGATCTATGGCAGCTGACTGTGTTCTTTGCTATTTCAATTCATCCTAAAGGATCTAAAGACGCTGTAGATCCTGTGACTGTATCAATAGGGAACTAATCACTGGGTGTTTCTGACGTACTTTCCACACACGATGCATTTCACACATTTAGAATTGTATTTCATTCACTTGGACTTGTCTCTTACGCCTGATAACTTATTTTCATACGATGACATGACAGAACCAAAAAGGAGAAGGCGTTTTGGGAACAAATGAGGAATTTCGAGTCCAAAAAGCTCACGTGCTTTGATGTCACATGTGCAGAAATTTGCTAACTAACACAATAATGCCGAATCATGCTGTAACGCGGGGCAGAATTATGTTGTAGACATTTATTTAAAGGACTTTCGGAGGTCTGAAAAGGTAAATGTATCCAACGTAAAAACGAGGGTCCGCTTTGTGAACAATGACGTTAGCATGGTTTAGCTAAATGCGTGCTAACATGCTCTCGGTGGCGCTGACTACCTGCTACATGTTGTCTATGGGCCTCGTCGGGCTTCAGTCCTTTGTGACTGAACATTTCTATTTGCAGAGGGGTAGGTGGACATTTTGAACTAACAAATATCACCACAAAACCCCCGAAAGTGATCACTTGCGGTTTGGGGACCACTGTTTAAGGTTACAGAGTGGCTTAAATAGAATAAAATACGGACTTAGCAACCATACTGTTTACTTGGGTAACATCCTCGAGGCTTTCCTGCTCTCTGTGGTGAGGCTGCCCGGCTGTACGCAGCCCAGCTGATGTAACATTTATAGCTTGTAGTGCTCATCTAAACATGCATCTAAATATCATTAAGCAGGAAATAGCATGTGCAGTATCATCTGTAATGGGGATTGGATTAGATATCAACAGGGGAGGAAGAGGAAGGCTCTTAAACAGTTTGTTGTGTGTTTGTTTCTCGTTTTACCACTGAAATCTCAAACTCAAACGCCACCAGAACTTTATTTCCCATCTTCGGGCTGCAAAATTGATCTTTTTCATTTTTGAAACAGCTTCTGTGGCTTCAGTTTAGCAGTTTAGGTTCAATGAGCAGCAAGCTTTTCCACCATTCTGTGTACAAAGCTTCCAGAGGAGAGCTTTAAATCCTGTGGTCTTTATGAGGCGTAGACCTCAAACCACAAGAATGTGAGAGTGAATGTCCCTGAACTGATCTACGTCCGGTTTTTATGCTCATTTTAATGCACAGGGCTCCAGCAGAGGTGGTGCCACTTCTCCTCGGCTGGCTGTGATCTTTTCTTGTCAGAGGCGGAGGGGTAAAAAAACAAAGTCAAGTACTTTGTGAGTTTGTGCTGCGAGAGAAAAAAGAAAAAAAAACATGTCAGGCCCTTCGTGCACGGACAGGTTTTTATGAATGGGAAGTTTCTTGTTTTTTTTCTTCTAACTTTCCCTCTCTCTTTTTGTGAATGAAAAACAACTGGAAAATCCAGTCTAAAAAGCCCGCAGACTGCCGGGAGATGATTGGCCGCTGCGGCGCGAAGCTCCGCCCACGGTTGCTAGGACCCCGACTGCCGGGCTTCCGATTGGCTCACGCTGGGCAATCGGGGCTTCATTCATAAGTCAGTAGTGTGTTCAACCGGACAAAGACTGGAAATTTGAGCCCCTGAAAGACGAAAAGCACCAATCACGAGCCTCGTCTGGCCCGAGCGAGCAAAGTCCCCCCATTATCCCCAAATCAGCGTCTGATAGCGAAATGACGCGCAGCTGGCGCCCAGAAGCCACTTCGACCTAAAAGGTGTTTAAACTCACCAACTCACTCTAGGTGCTGTTGCAAGTTATATTCGGTCGAAATAGTTTAGATTTCTTGCTCACTCAAATAGCGCGCGCGCTACATCTGTATCCCGTCACAGCTCCAGACCGGTTCCTAAAGGCACTGGAGCCTCTTGGCAATCTGGGCAGACGTGGCAAAAAAACTCCTAGAAAACAGCATAGAAGCTTGGAATGCACGCACGCACGCACGCTGTGGACGTGTTTTTAGAACACTTAAAAGACCGTGACAAAACTTGCTTTGAAAAATAAAAACATTTAAAAAAGGTGGAGAAAGAGCTGCTTGAGCTGTGAAATTAACTTTACCTTTACGTATCAAAAGGTGGACGTGACGTGCTGTCTGTCGCGCGCACGCACGCACACACGTAGACAAAAATAAAGGCGGTTTGCAAAGAGGGCTGCAGCCCGCTGGGTAATCACTCGCCATCACTTCCCCTCGGCATTTTTTTTTTTGTGAATGGAGCTCATTATGCATGCAGCCTCCACGCAGCTCCATTCACAAGCAGCGCTCTCTCTCTCTCTCTCTCTCTCTCTCTCTCTGCAGGCTGCGTGGATCGCACTCAACTCAGCCCAAATGACCGCAAACGGTTAACGGATGGATTATAAGATGGATGGATATTTGGACCAGCAAGTGCCTTACACTTTAGCAAATGTACGTATGGACGAAGTCTTTCTGTTTACGTGAATAATGCGCACGCTGCCGGGCTTTATCTCTCTCGCGCGCGCTCGCTCTCTCTCTCTCTCCCTCTCTGTCTCGCGTCTGCACGAGTTTTTGGCTGAAGCAGTGTGTACAAAAAAAACCAACAACTAACACACAGAAAGAATATCTGTCCACAAAAGTTGCGCTTGCGGGGGCCGCGTTTAGTGATGTTTTGTCGGCGGGTTGTTTACGTGAGGTGATTCGGCTGAAGAGCGCGTCAAAGCGTGCCAAAGCGTGCCCAAATGTTCACTTTTCTTTGGACGCAAACAGCGCGTTGGTCCCCCCCCCCCCACCCTTCCCACGACTGAGAAATGTGCAGCTTTCGTAGCTGAAATATAAGCGCTGCCTCGTAGCTCATTGTGAACGATTATTATTAATTACTTCCTCTCTGTTGTTTGGCCAGACGTGTTTCCTTGGCGTCACTTGCGTGCCACTTTTAAACATGTCATTGTGACACTGATGTGCCCTGTTGAGAGTCTCGCTCCTCTGTTAACATGTGTGCGTTTTGCAGAAATCGCATGGAAATGGGCCCCTAAATAGACTGTTGATGGCAGCGAAAAGGAAATACATGGACACAGAATTACCCCCTCAGGAATCTGAAGGTAAAGTAGTCGACATCTCTCTTTACGTGACGCATGTTGACATCATGTGAACCCCAGACAGGCATTGAGTCTTGCTTACTGCATTTAAGAGCAATAACAAACTAACTGGTGGCTTGACAATCACTCTTTTCTTGTTTTTTTATCTTTCTGTACAGACCTCTTCCAGGATTTAAGCCAGCTCCAAGAGACATGGCTCACAGAAGGTGAGATTTACCCGCAGGCTGCACTCTTCTCAACTGTGCTTTTCTGTGATGATTCTCTCATTTTTAACCGTCACGGGGTTTTATGATGTGTCCGTCAGTAAAGCTTGGTAAACACAGGGACCTCACATTACCACAGAAAGTACCTTTTCCATTCTATTCAATTCTTTAGGGATGTTACTAGCGTGTCATCAGAGGTTGCTTCGAGGTTTTTCTGTCGGCCCAGAACTGCTCCAACAAAACAAATCTCAATTTAAATGCTTTTCATTGAACTTTGGTGGGAAAAGACGACACTCTCAGCTGCATTTAACCGCCGTTCCAAACGGCATGATGCAACAGACGTGCCCATGAACCATACAACGTGTTAAAAAGACAAAAAAAAAAAGGGCAAGAGAGAACACAGATGGGACATTATTAGCTTTGAGCATATCCTATTTTGGCCATGTGGCGTGCGTGCCTGCCAGTGGCCAAAGCAAGCAAACAAACTATTTGGCTCGTGTCACTCAAAAGCACATAGCGACGAAATGAGGCCCAGCCAGAGACCGTTGTCAGTTAGTAGACTTACTAAGTGCAATGATGATGCGAGCGCTAATAGAGTAATTGTAACGTGTGTCAAGAGGGGGGGAAACAACACGCCGTTGAGTCAATGGGCCTGTTTTTGTTGCGTTTTCAAATGTGCTCGAGGCGGCGAGTACGGCTTTAGAACTGCAGCGCGAGGTGTGAACGTAGTGTGTGTCGGTCGCTTTAATGTGGAGGTGTAAAAAAAAAAAAGAAATACTCATTTGTCTCAATTAATGTGACTCGTATTAACTTGAAACCTGCTTTAAGCCGCTCGCTGTCACTTTGTTGGAGCCGCTTTGCTTAATGATGTTTGTGCAAAGGCGGTTTTAAGCTGTGACTGGGAACCAGTCGCGGCCCAATATGCAACTTGTACAGGTTTGACGCGGAGAGTTGAAGAATGAACATCTATATTAAGAATTTCCAACGACGTAATTTAACTTTTTTTCTTATGATGGAAGATGTTCTATGTGAATGCTATGCTGCAAACTGAGTAATGCTTATAACAGTAACTTTTAAGAAGAGAGTTTACAAAGTGCTTCGGCAGAGCGATAGAATATAACAGAAGCAAGAGAAAGGTCAAACTTAAACTCCAATAACAATCCAGTACGGTAGATAATAAAACTAAGCGATGCGATAAGAACTTATGTGTCAATATTCAATATGGTGCTCTATTTTTATGGATAGAGCAGAATTTCGACAGCGATCTCCCTCATTTCTGCGGAGTAATCACCGTCCCAGTGTCGACCCTCATTGCAGCCTTATGAGGAGCATTTAATAAAACCCTTTTTTTTACTGTTCATGTGAAACAATGTGGTCTCCCACATTGGTTCTCTTGCCTTTTCTCATGCAACGTAAAAAATAAATAAAAAAAACAACAACCCGCAAGTTCACTTAACACGCAGACAAAGACCAGAGCCCATAAAACTGCAACAATGGGTGACACTTCAAAGTTGGGGCCTTATTTGTATTCACAGGTTTCACTGTAAAGGGCCACCCTGTCTTAAAGGTTCAGGTTTTCTCACCTACCCCACAGTGGTGTATAGTCCTTCTGGATGACTTTGGTTTTGTTTGCCCAGGCTGAGGTATCGGCCTCTGAGCTTCATGCTTCGTCCTCGCTACAAGGGAGCCGAGTTTAGTTTGTGGCACTCAAATCTGAAAAAGAAAAATGTTTTTTTTTTTTTTCAGAAGCATCTCTGCATCACTGAGGCCTCTTGTGATCAGTTTTTAGTGACTGGTTTTAAATAAAAGAGGAGCGAGTTTGCTGTTCTAAGCGTTTTGTACCTTTTTGAGCAGCACATTTATATTGTTGTTGGCAGCAGAAATCCCAGACGCTGATGTTTAAAAACCTGTGAGAATTAAACCCAAAGTTATTTATATGACTGGGAAAAATGAGAAAGTATGTTTCTGTTTTGGTGATCATACAAATGTGCTGATTGAGTCACAGAGGGGGGAAGAAGAAAGCAGGCCAGAAAGGTGGAAGTGTAACTTTATCAAAGCGTTATTTAAGCCTAAGTACCGGCTTGTTTTCAGCTTCCCCGGGTAAGACCTCTCCTTTCCTGTTGCAATAGATTAAAGACCTTATCATGACTGATTGCAGTTGTGAAGG